TGTTACTTACTAGCAGATACTTAAAACACATAAATACAAAAATAAATCTTGTTTTTCTTTCTGATGGTACTGAGTGCAAACCAGGACTTCAGGCTGAATGTGGTCTGCATATGCTGCACGACTCTGCCAAGAAGTGTTTAAAAGAAAAACATATTGGGTGAAAGTATAATAGAAAACATCACAGCGTCTCAGACTGAAGAGCTGTTTCTCTTTGTGAATGTCGGTACTTCAGCTGTAACCAGTGTCACAACTCTCAGGTCATTTTGACCTATTTTCCATTTTCAATACGCTCCATTGTTATCCATCAACAGAAAACCTTTTTGAACCAACATCCTGTAGGTCTTTGCATTTTTTTTTTTTTTTTGCACAATGTGGATAAACAGCTGCTAAGGGTAAAATCGACATAATTTGGACACGCAACAAAATTCAGCTTGATGCCGCCTCACCTCATCTCTTGCCAGTGATGTATTTTTACAGACACATAAAAGCAGGTCCTGATGGGCTCCTGCAGAGGTGAGGCTGAATCACTCGGTCTTACATGCCTCTCAGAAACACCTTGTTCTTTCCTTAAAGCACTCTCTAAGACTTCTCCCAATACAGCTGATTACAAGCAGGCTGTTCATGTTTGCTATCCCCCTTTAAGATATGCTCTGGATAAAAATATATAAGTACATACTTTACAAAGTCAGCTCATTTTACCTTAGGAAAACATTTCTGCTAGAACATTTACGCAACAAAATCAATTTATTCACTGCATGTTTATGTCCGTTTGTGTAAGGTTGAGATGGTCCTGCACATGAAAATGGTCCTTTGTTAACCAGTCAGACTAGCAACACAAAACAGACAATAAAAACTGTCAGATATGACTTTATTACGCCATGAAAATAACTCAGAAATAGTCTAAATAATTTAGAAGTAGTTGTTCTTTCTTTCCTTCTTAAGGAGAGTTTGTTTACGTCTTGGGGGGAGAGGGAAATCCCATGTTTGGCCTATTTTGCTTTTGCATTTTGCACATAGGTTTGTGGTGCATTTCTGTCCAAAAAAAAAGATGTAAAACTTCAGATATCTTACAAACAAGATGGAAAATTCACGAAAACCTTATAATATAGCAGATACTACGGCCACCGTCGTTTCTGCTATATTATGCTGTATTCTGCGTAGTAAGAAAGACGCTCAGTGTTCAATTTTGACGCATGAACTGCTCAGTACATTTTTGTGAGAGATCTCAGAAGAAGAAAATCCTCCATGTCCCCTAGGGGGCTCCGTATCACCTCCTTGGTCAGAGATGCACCACAGAAACTTTATGCTTCATCCCTGCTATATTTTTACTCAAAAACAAAAGTACAGCAGTCTACTACGTCAGTGTGCATGTATCCTTTTAGCTGTAATAATTCATCCTGTCATTCACTGGATGATTAACAGGATAAAAATACCAGCTATCAGCCTTTTAGTATCTTTCAGGCATCAAAGGTGCATCAAATACAAAGCAGCACCCAGGAATAAACACATTTTCTGCAGGACGAGAAGAAACAGAAGAATCTAGATCGACCAGACAGATGTTATTCTCAAAGTAAGAAAGAAAAATATATATATTTGTGGAGGAGTTCTGCTTTTCATGGAAGTGATGAGAAATTAAAGGTATGAAAAGAGCCTGTACAAAACCTTCAAATCAACATTTTCTGTCTAGAGAACCACATTTATTTACTAGCATTAGTGTGAAGCATCTGCAGCAACTATTAACAAAGCAATTCAGACAAAAAATAAGTTTCTGGAAGGTTAATAGCAGAAGTTCGCTGCAGGCTCTCAATAATATATTGGACCCTTTGGCAGAGTGGGAACATGTTAAACAGATCAATTTATTGACATTTCTTGTGTTCTGCAACTTCAGCTGAGGGATTGATTTTCTCCATTTATGCTGCTGCATATGAATCCAACAAAATTCAATCTATTCGTCACCTCATATTTTGAAGACACTTGAGTATATAATGACAAAATACTAAAAAAAAAAAAACGGCTGTAAAGATCATGAATTGATTTGTAAATTGCCATGACTCATGCAGATACTTTGCAGTTTTTAGAAAAACATATTCTTACCACTTGTTTCCAAGCGTTGCAATTTAAATCTATTTTCTGTTTTAAGAGGAAAATCTATGAGAGACAGTAAAGTGGTGAATGGAGAAGCAGAAAGACATACAAACAATTAAGCGTAATGGTGAACCAAAAAATATCCCCATGGAAACCTTTCTCTCAATTCTCAAAATGATGAGGATGATGATGATGATGATGATAATAATGGCAGAAGCAGGAGTGGGTTGAGCTCTTATATAACCTGCACTGAAAGAAATAATAAAAAAAGTAAAAGTAATTTTTTCTGCACAGATGTAACAATGGACAATTTATCATTTGCACAAATGAAGCTCTGGATATCTGTAGGTATGACCACACCTTTTGTTTTAGAGGCTAAAACCCGACAGACTAAAACAAAAGTGTTTTCCTGACCTGTCAGGGATATTTAGGTGACTGAGCCTCCACCCACTGGGAGGTCAGCGACCGCCTGGAGCGTCTTCTGCTCTCGGCTTCTCATGCCGGGTTTGTGTCAGAATCAGGCAGCGGCAGCAGACTTACACATCCAGACACCAGCAGTAGGAAAAGGCCTTTCGAGAAACACAATCACACTATTTCTGGTGGTTAGGAGAAATTTAAAGGCTGATATTGATCAGTACCTTCAGATATCGACATTGTTTAGATCACATGTATCAAACTCAAGGCTCGTGGGCCAAATCTGGCCCGCCAAAGCTTTTTATGTGGCCCTCTGGATTCTAGACCAGTGTTTCTCAACCCTGGTCCTCAGCGCCCCCCTGTCCTGCATGTTTTAGGTATTTCCCTTCTGCCACACACCTGAATTGTATCTCTGGGTGATTAACAGGCTTCTGCAGTACTTAATGGCCATGCAATCATTTGAATCAGTTGTTCTGGAATAGAGGCACATCTAAAACATGCAGAGCACGGGGGCAGTGAGGACCAGGGTTGAGAAACACTGGTCTAGACTAAACACTAAGTGAGCTTAAATATTATATTATCAATCAAATCAATGCAGTTTTTACTGCCAAATTATATCAATCAGTCCCTCGAGTTCACTGCCTTAATCAGTGTTTATGTGTGACTGTCTTAAATGTTATCGTCATGTCAGCGTGCAGCCGTGTGCGTGTGAACAGATAAAACAGATAGAGAAAAGACAAAGAGTCCTTTCGTCAATAACAGAGTGTTCCTTATGAATTTTTTGTTACATTTCTTATGTGTAATCACCATATTTATAGTTTCTTTTACAAAGGACATTTTAGTTCCATTAGTCTTTTTGTTTTTCACAATATAGCATCAGGGCTTTGTTTTACTATTTTTTTGTATTTATGTTTGTCCTTAACTTGATTTTTTTTAGCACATTAGCTCCACTTCATACCAACCTAACTTTTAGCCACATAAAACATATTGTTTTCTCCCTGTGTTCACAAATGCATCAAAGCAATAAGAAAAACTGAGGTCTGTGTCTTTAATTAAAAAAAATCACATCAGTTAAAATATTACTGTAGGTTTCTTTAAATGTGTTTTAAAAATCAGAAGTTTTTTATTTCATTACATGGCACGGGCTCCGCCCCCTTGATGACGTAGAGCAACCCTCCCCCAATCATTCCAGGACAGTTGTCAGCAACTGACCAATCAGCGTCGCAAGTACACGCTCCCTATCTCCGACAATATTGACAGTGTTTATCATAGCAAACACGCTGCGGTCAGAGAGATTTTGAGGAAAATAATAGGAAATCCTGGTCCAAGTTGTCAGTGGGGAATATGCAATCCCGACAGCCGTTACCCAGAATGTGTAGAGGGCGGAATACAATTTATTACATTTCCAAAACCAAAAAGAAGTCTGGAATGACGCAAGAAATGGACCATGGACGGCAGCCCACCTCACGTCCAGTTGAATGAAACTGATGGACGGAACTACCACGTTAGTCAGCACGAAGGCATCCGGTAGTAAACGTCCCATTTTTTGTCATAACACTGACATAATCATTTCCAGATCAATAAATGAAGCTAGTTATGCAGAGTTTTATGGTGTAGATTCCAACGGTAGCTCATGAAAACAGACTGCAGTAACTGCCGTATTTACATTTAAACATCGTTTTATGCTACTTTTTATTTTTAAGCATTTTCCTGAAGGCATACTTTCACAAGCCGGTATTATTTAAGTCATTACTCACCCATTTTGTACATGCAACCAGACTTTGTGTCCCTCATCAGTTTTCCTCTTGGGCTTCATCGTTGTTTCCCGCTACTAACCTTACAGACCTGATGTAGGACTAGTTAGATAATTTTCTTTGCCTCAGTGTTGGTTTATAAGGCAAAATTGACTCAAAAAAATGTCTCGGGTAATGCATTAAAGTTTGTTATATCTGCCATAATAGTTTGCTTGTCGGAGGACAGCTACTTCTGCAATGGCGTGGATCCGGCGTCATGTCAATTGGATGAATTTCTGTGAATTTTGCAAATGCTGCTTCACCACCCAGCACTGTAATATTGTTCTTTTTCCAAATAAAAGAAGCAAACCCTTTTCTGTTTGTATAGAGGGTCATTTTTACAGCTCCCCAATATACAAAATTATACTATTTTTGGGAGCAAAGGCAGATGTGAATTCTTGTATAGATTGGAAACCATTTACCAATTATTTGTAGTCTAGTTTCTAATGCAAATCTCTCAATTCATTTGAGGTAAGGCAAAACTAACTTACAAGAAACTTTGCAGCAAAATATAGGAGTTGCTTCTTTTAAGTTAATTCCTTAATATTGATGAGAAGGTTCTTGTTTCATTGGCTGATTATTTAAATTATACTAGGGGAAAATGTTTTGTTATTGGTGAAATAATCCGTCAATGGAACAAGAACCTTTTTCTTTAGAGCGATGAGTTCCTCTGTATGCAGATGACAGCGCAGATCGGTGTCTATCTTGTGATTGGACAGATCGGTGTCCGTTCTGGGATTGGTGGCTTCCTGTCCAGAAGGAAGTTGTGAACAGAGTTTAAAAGCTGCTGCAGGACTGTAGATATTCACAGGAAGCTGGACCAGCAATGGCTCTGCTGAAGGTTCTGCTGCTGCTGGGGCTGGGTGAGTCTGAAGCACTGGAGAAATTTCCACTGGCTCCAGGGAGGCTGCTGCTCTCTGTGACTCTCAAACTTCCCCGTTTTCTTCTTCAGGTGTTTCAGTGAACTCAGATGTTTCTCTGCAGAAGAGAATCATTGGAGGTCATGACTGTGATGACAAGGAGCATCTTTATCATGTTCGGCTGGTGGGCAGCATGGGAAAAGCAAAGACCCGCTGTGGAGGAACTCTGATCCACCCTCAGTGGATCCTGACTGCAGCTCACTGCTGGAAGTCGGATATTGGGTGGTAGGAAAGAGACATCAAGACAGTTTTATCTGCAGATGATTAGGCTTTCTGTGTGCTCATTATAATCTAACCTTTTCTGCAGGATTAACGTAGTAATGTTAAAAGTTCATCCACAGACTGCTATACATCAGAATACAGTAATCCGAGAAGATCCTGTGAGTTATGTTGCCCACGACGAGAAGCATGACATCATGTTGCTGAAGCTTCGGAGACCAGTAACAGATGTCCAACCCGCTCAGCTACCAGACTGCAGTCATCGTCTTAAAGTGTAAGTCTTTCTCTGACCAAAAACATGACTTCAGGATTTCTGTCTCCAGTCCTGGTGCCTCTGCTCCAGCACACCTGAGTCAGGTAATCGGGCCACTAGCAGAACCAGGACCCGTTTAGCTCAGGTGTGTTTGACCAGAGACGCATGTAAAGAACGCAGGACACCTTCACTGAGGACTGGAGGTGGACACTCCTGTGTCAGTGGATGAAGTCCTTCATGGATTCATTTCCTGTTCTTTCATTGTTCTTCATTACATTGTTATCTTGTATTGTTACATTTTATTCTTCTTGTGTTTTAGAGACGATGATGTTCAGCTGGTAGGAGAGGGAATAACGACAGCCGGCCCCAATAATGAGCGACGTGAGAGAAACATTGAAGTTATGAGAATAAAATGTTTTTCTGCCTCTCCAGAAAAGGTCGAGTGACGAACATGTTTATGATTGCCATGTTTCTCTACAGTACTCGATGCTGCTCTTCCAACACGTCTTCAGTGTGTCAACATGAAAGTTGTTGCTGTTTCCTTCTTCTGGCCGCCATGTGGGAAAATATTCCTTACTGCAGCACCAGACAAGGATACATGTCATGTAAGTTTGTTTCTTCGATATCTCTCTCCAGACTTTTCTGTTTTACAACATAAATAAATGTATTGTTATGCATTTTTCAACAGGGTGACTCTGGCTCAGCAGCGATGTTCAACAACATGATTTACGGTGTGCTTTCTGAAAGTGGACAAAATGCATGTGACGAACCAGTTAGAGTCATGGATGTGTGTGAATACATGGGGTGGATAAGCAGAACAACAGCTTAAATAAAACATAAACCATTATGAAATAAAATTCTCATCAAATTTCCTCTGAGACATAATTTCATAATTGTATCTTCATCAGTGTGTTTCACAGGTTTGTAGAATTACGATAAATTAATCGTTTTGTTTTTTCTCACCTGACTTTGACCTCCATAATTGAGTTTTCTCTGCCTCAGAAATGCAAAATAAATGAATGAAAAAGAAACATTTCCTGGCTGGTTGACTTTACATTCATGGTTCAGTTTGTGTAGTTGATATTTTCCCTGAACAGAGTCTAAAAACGTGACATGAGTTTTAAATCGCATGAAGAGGAACACAAGAAGTAATTTATTTATTCAGTTTTTGTCTTTATTTTAACCCATGAAACAAAAACTAAGCACACACATGCTAATTACTGTTCCTAGCGAAACAGCTGTGAGAATGCAAATCTGCAGAATGATTGCTGCAGATTATGCAAGAAAGAGCAGAACAAAGCATAAGAAGTAGGAAAAAAACTGAAGAAAGCAACAGTCATACATGGTAGAAATGTTTTGCTAAATAGTGAAATTTAGCAAAAGATATAACAATTCAGCAGAAGTAGAAATTTATATGCAATCTGAAATATTTCAAAAAGTACAATAGTAAAATATTTGAAATAGTAAAATGGTGAAATGTTTGAAAAAGTACAATAGTAAAATGTAGCAAAAGATGTAGCATAATTCAGCAGAAGCATAAATTTGTATTCAACCTGAAATATTTGAAAAATAATCTAATTTTTCTGCCATAATCCAAGAGCACACATTTTCAGACTGAAAACTGGATTTCATGTCTTTTGTTATCAAAACTTTAAATGCTTTTGCTTACATTTTTATTTTGAAAGCAGGACTTCATGTCTGTCTTCTCAAAACTTATAATGCTTGTACTCAAAACATCTCCTTGCACTCACACTTATTGGTCTCTGCTTGGACTTTCTGTTCGCTTACGAAACCTAGCGCTGCCTTTTTGACAGAGTCGCCTAGCAACCTCTCAGCCAATAGAATGAAAGTATTGTACTTGGTGTGTTTGTTTCCTTCTAGCTGATGTGCCTGTGTGGGTACTATCGATTGTAAGTCATGTGCTGTGTGGGCTTGTTTCAACCGTTTAATCTTTCAATATTTAATTTTGACCTTATTTATTAATTTGTACTTTTTTTAAACTTAACATTTAATTAGCAAGTTAAACATTTAGTTTGGAAATAAATATTTAGCTTGATAGGCAAATATTAAGTTTGGGGCTATTTACTTAGAAGCTTAATATTTAGCTTGCTAAATAAATAATTAGATCCAAGTTAAATATGTAGCACACTAGCTAATTATTTACCTTTACTGTCAATTTAAACATTTTTCCCCAAATTAAGCATTTAGTGAGTAAGCTGAATATTTAGTTTGAACCTGTTACATTTATACGTCAATAAATATTGGGGTGAAAACATGAGTTTGATGTTAGAAAGAAAAATAATTGTTCTGTTGGGTTATATGCATCTAGTTCATGCTTTTATTCAAAAAAGCTCTGTTAATGCACAGGTATTACACAAGTACTGAAAAGAGAGAAAAAAAGAAGCAAAGCCTTCTTTTTTGCTTTTGTTTGCAAAATTGCAACTATCTGAAAAGCTGCATATTTTCCAGTCTTATTCACCAGAGCAGACAGATGACATTTAGCCCTGAAACATGGTGGTAATTCTAATTTTTTTGCACACATGAGACTGATAGACTTTGACATTTCATTTTCTAAATTTATCCACAGAAGATCCAGACATGAAGAGAAATATTCAAGGTGTTTTATCTCTTTAGATGATTTGCTGCATCTATATTTACCCACATTTGACATTATGATGAAGAAACCCAGCAAACCCATGATAAAGGGAACTACACCATTTTGCATTTATGTTTTTGAGCAGCCGATCACAAAAACAGTCTATAATTTTATTTTCTTCAGCTGAATTTATGAAAAATGCTTGATAATCTAAGCTGCACAGGGATTAAACTGTATTTACAGTCAAACAATGCAATTCCCTGAAAGTCAATTATTAAAAAAACCTCAGCAATAAGTAGACGGTAACTAAAATCCTGCATGTTTTTATATGTTTCCCTGCTTTAACACACCTGATTCAGATAATTGCAGTTCAACAACAGACTGCTAAACAGCCAATAATTGAAATCAGGTTTGCAGAAGGAGGAAAACACCTAAATTATGCATGGCAGCCTGTCTAGAGGACCATTTAACTAAATTATGAAGCATCTCAAAGGTTTAACAAAATCCAGCTCTAAAAATTACAACGTTGGGTATAAAAATGAGTTGTGATTTCATTTTTTCCCCCCTCAGGATTGGTTACCTACAGAAGAAAAAGAGAAACAGGATTTCAACTGAAAACAAATACTGATCGATCAACAGGGGGCAGCAGTTACCCATAAGTAAGACCTTCCCATGCTTTAAAATGCAAAGCTTTTAAATCTTTTAATAAATATGACACTGGGCAGAAAAATGAGGAATCTATTATATGGACTCATCTGATCTTCAGTTCTGAGAAACAGGAGGAAGAGTTTTAATTTAGTCGACAACATAAGTGTTAAAAGTTCACGGATCCGTTGAACATCTCCTCCTCCAGGGGCATTTCTGATCATTAAACTTACATAACAGTCATCACATGCCATATTTCTCTGTTTTTCATGTTTCCGTGACATCTGCTATCAAAGCATCGGCACTTTGAGGGGGTTTAAAGCAGATTCATGCGAGGAATCTGAGTGGGAGCATTGTGACTCAGAGATCAACCCCCAAGCTGACAGATGCCCATCGATCTTTTTTAGACCCTCACAGACTCACTGGCAGGCATTTGATGTGTGCAGGCAGGCAGAGGCTGCATGTTAACATGGCAGGTGGTTTTAAAATGTATTGATATTATGGGGAAATGACAGTGAAAAGTCAGATTATGCAGAAGAAACTGAGATTCAAAGTAAAACTGATGAAATCTAAAAAAAAAAAAATATCTGATGGATGTTAAGGTTTTTTTTATTAAGCTTTCATACACGTGGCTCATGTTTGAAATAGACTCAACACAAATTGATTAACCTGTGCGGAAATATTTTGGTGACAATAATAACACCAACAAATCATGACAGAAATCTAATAAAGTAATAAAGTAATTTTTGAGTGAAAAGAGAAGTAAACAACATACTTATTCATGTATAGCCTCTTTAAAACACCCACCTGGATAATTAACCCTTTCATGCATGAATTATGATCCTTTGTGTTAGGATTTCTGTCCTTTTTTTATTTTCTTAAGCCATTAAAAAAAGGCAGGAAAAAATATTTTATTTTTTTAGGTGATCAATTGTAATTTTCTCCAAATACGAAGTTGCTATTTGAAAAATACATCAGTAATATTGTTCTTTGATGTCACAATATGTTTTTTTACCTGCAAGAGTCGTCTACAGTAGAAGGAGGGACCGGGTCGGTTGGCATGCTTTTTTGTCTGTCGGCCATATTGGATTTAACAAAAATAATTTCTTGCATTTGCAGCTGATGGCCAGTAGTTGATGGTGTATTTTATGATGCATTAGTGTCCACTTCAGTGGTCTGTGTGCATTTATAACATAACAATCCACAAGAAGCACAAGAAAATGACTTTTAGACAGTTGTCCATGAAAGGGTTAACTTCTGTACCATCTGATTTGTTATGCTTGATTTAGGTACAGAGTCACATTGAGCATCCTTTTACGTATTAACCTGATATTTAGGGAATAAATGATGATCTTGTTCATATTGTGCTCATTAGCATAGTCTCCTGGTCTCTAGTCGTTAACACTTCACAGTGAAAACTCTCAAAGTCGTCTACAAATCTGTTTTAACAGGTAGTTAAACAGTTAAAGCTCAAGACAATTATAGACTTGTCTGCCGTAAAGGGAGGAACAAAATAAAAGGAAAACGAAGGTGAACAGATAAAAAGAGCAGGCCAAAAGATCAGGGCTGGACCTCTGACATGGACACATCTTTCTGAGCCATAAAAATTGTTGCATTTCTGACCCATTAAACCAGCAACTGGCTACATTTTTAACTTGTTACCGCAGGTATCAAGTCAAAAGATTGCCCTCACCCTTAACATAATGATCCAAAAAGCAAACTAATTCCTTCCAAAAAGATTATTTTTAAGATGAAGTAAACGTCCAGTATCTCCAAAGACGAGATGCCAAGAAGACCAAGAGGTTTACAAACTTTTTAAAGGCCCTACGTTTGCAAAACAAATACAGTTTCTGTGCTGAGTCAGCCCACATGAACATGGACATCATTTGATCCATTTCCAATGTGACCCAGAAAACACAGCTGGCTTTGCTTTGTGCATTTTTCCAAGCTCAGAAACATGGTGAGGAAATTGTGTTGTGGAAATCAAATTCTCTTCAGAATTTAATTAGGATTTGTGGCCACACTGCAAAAAAACACAAAAATTTACCAAGTTTTGTTTTCTAGTTGCTAGTGCAAATACCTTCGTACACTTGAAATAAGAAAACACAAAACTTAGAAGTAACTTTACTGCAAGAAAGAGTTTGTTTTAAGTCAATAATTTCTTAATATTGATGCAGATTATTTCACTTATAACAAGACATTTTCCCACATTATAAGTGAAATAATCTGCCAATGGAACAAGTACTTTTTCAGCAATATTCATTAATTATTGAGTTAAAACAAAGTACTATATCTTGCTTAAAAGTTACTTGTAAGTTAGTTTTGTTTTATTTTAAGTGTATTAAAAATATTTGCACTTGAAACTAGACAAAAAAATACTTGTGTATTGTTTGGTAAGACTATATTTGCATTCAAAACGGGTTTTGTCTTCACTCTCTATAAGTTTCCCTAATGCAACATTGTGCTGTAAGGAGATGGATTAAAAGTAAGCTTATTCTAAACCTCTATTTTGGAGTTTTATCCCCATCTGCTGGATATAACAGCAAAACACTGTGCTTTCCACTGGATGCATTAACAAACAGGATGTTTGACACACAGATGAACATGACAAGAATAGCTGGAAAATGCTGACTCAGAAAAATGCATGATGCTGATGAAAGCATAATAAAATATTGACCTAGAAATCAACTTTATTACTATTTTAAAATATTTCAGAAGTACATTGATGTACTCTGCAAAAAATATAGGTTTTGCCAAGTATTTTTGGTCTAGTTTCTAGTGTAAATGCCTTATTTCACATGTACTAACTTAAAAGTAGCTCTTCAGCAAGATATAGGAGCTTGTTTTAAGTCAATAATTCCTTAATACTGATTAATATTCTTAAGTATTGGTTCCATTAATATGAGGAAATAACACGAAGATATTTCTTCATACTATAAGTGAAGAAATGTCTCAATTATAAAAGACATTTATAATTGATGTCTTTTATTTATAATTGATGTCTTTTATTTTAAGTCAATAAGTTAAGGAATTATTGACTTAAAACAAGCCCCTCTATCTTCCTAAAATGCTGCTTGTAAACTAATTTTGTCTTATTTCAAGTGCAGTAAGATATTTCTCTAGAAACTAGAATAAAAATACTTGGTAAGATTTTGTGTTTTTGCAGTATGAGCTAATAAGAGTAGGTACTGCACATGCATAACGTAGCTTAGGAATTACGTAGTATTTAGTTAGAAACAGCCTTTATTGTCCATCAAAAGGGGAAATCAGGTGTAAAATCAGATTGAAATAAGTTCTTTATCTGGTTCAACACACCTGAAATGTTCATTATTAGGTTTCTGCAGATTTCAAGCCATGTTGAGATAACTGGAAGATTTGAATCAGCTGTGTTGGAGTATCTCTTCAGGACATGGAGCTGGACAACATTTTAAAATCTTTGGCATAAGGAAGTCAAAATAAACCACACACATTAACAGACTTAATGTATTTACTGATGCAGGAGCCTTTTGTATGGATGCCTGGTGTGTGTATTCATCGCTTTAAACCTTTTCCATCAACTCTCTCTGCTCCTGGCTCCACTGCCAGTGTTCTCTTGGTTTCTTGTAATTTTTTGGGATGCTTTCGGGTTTACAAGCGTCCTCCAGTCCCCAAAGTGACTCAGACCGTGTGTTCCTTCTTTGATGTTTCCAATAGTCACCTCATTGTGGAGCAAACCAGTTTTACTGTGGCCCACATAAAACAGTCCACAATGATTCTAACAGTCTGTTTTTGTTTTGTTTTGTTTTGTTTTTTTAGTTATTTTTGTTGCTAATGCTAAGGTGCAAATTTAACTGCAAGGAACTTTGTGTCAACTTTTAAACACAAGAAAGAATTGATGCTTAAAATGGTTTTAGTATTAATTATCTGGATATCTACTTAATTCAAATAAAAAATAAAAAAAAACTAATGCAACTTGATAGTTCTGAACCAGACTTGCAATAAAATTACTGAGTATATAAAATCCTTGAGAGATCGGGTCCAAACAAAGTTAGGAACAACTCAACCCGTACCAAATAAAACATACTTTTCACTGTTTAACTGAAGAAAACTTAGATTCATCCAAATATTAATTTGTTTAATGCATTTATTAAATACATGGACAAGACTAAAGTTAAAAAACTTTGTGTTTGCTGCAGGAACACTCCAACATTAAAGGTTTTTTAAAACTAGTTTAAAAACATTTTTATTTGCTGCCGTCTACTCTTAACCTCAGTTTATTATTATTATTATTATTATTATTATTTTATTTTTAACTATTAACTTATTGTTAATAGTTCTGTGTATCTTTATGTACTTTGAATTGCCTTTCGCTAAAAGGTGCTATAAATCACATGTGTCAAACTCGAGGCCCAGGGGCCAAATCTGCCCCGCTGTAGCTTTTTATGTGGCCCTTTAGACTCCAAATTACATCAAGAAGTTCCTCCAGTTTTTCACAAATCTGCAAAATTCCCTCAAAATCAACAAATTTCCACTTTTTTCTGATTTTACTGCAAATTTTCTAAAAAACACTGAGTTTAAATGACTGCAGTCTTACTTGATGCCAAGTTATAGTGTGTGATTGATATAGCAAGTAATAAAAAGTCACATTTAATGTCATACATTTGCAAAAATACCATAAAATGTCCTTACAAATATTTCTAAATTGGCACCACAAAATCTGCAATTTTGTTTGAAAAAAAAACAAAAAACAAACAAACACTCAAATAATCAAAAAATCCTGGCGGTACAGCTATTTAGAGATATTTTAACAATTTAATTGGTTTTATCAATGTTTCTGGCACAACCGGCCCTTTAATAACATTCAGGTTTTGGATACGGCCCAAAATGAAAATGAGTGTCCTGCTACAAATAAATTAAACTGCTATCGATATATTCATATTCATGTGGTTTATATCCAATTTTGTAGCTTCTTGTGTTTTGGTTTTCTTTGCAACAATTGCTATTTACACAAACATCTGTTAGTGCAGTGCGTTTAATCGAGCAGCATCCTGCAGACACAGGAGACCGGCTGCTTCACAGACGAACCCAGGATGATTCTGGAAACGATGACTCATGAGTTATTTCATGTTTAGATCAACAGCACCTTATTTTGAAGCTTCTGCGGTTTGGAAAAACTCACCTTATTCTGTGTCAGGCCCGATCATGTGAAAACGCTTGAGGGACGAAGCGCAAATTATGCCTCTTTCCATTTTGTTGTGTTTAAATTTGGCTCAGCCAAAACTCACGTGCGGAGAGAGGAATGGGTCTTCTCTCGGTTGGAAGTGTCTCGTAACATATGCTTGGGCACATTTACAGGGAACAAACACGGAGCTTCTCATGTGAAAGTGGTTTCGCGAAAGACCAGGGAGAGTCCTTGTTCTAATTAGCAGGAGCGACTTGCAGCTGGAAAATCTGAGCTCAGGCCGGCCGGCGGGCCGGCAGGCAGGGTGAGGTGAAGCAGCAGTAGCCACACACTCACGCAGCAACACTCAGACCACAACCCAGCAGGGGGGCTTCCTGCAGCACCAAATTGAAAGCAGCTGATCAGTTGCTGACTCAGGACAGGTGGGTCAGATTTTAAAACAGCGGTTCGGTTGAGCAAATGTTAGGTTACACTTTAGCTTAAAAAAAAAAGAGTCAAGTTAAGGTTTAGTGGAGGTACATGTGCACCACAGGGATGTTACACTGATGCCTCCAGCTGCGGATGATGTAGGACCTGCAAACGGCAGACACTTTTCTGAGCCGCAGTGCAGCCAGCGTATGCCACACTTTCTCTGGATGTATTTTATGAAAATATCTCAGTTATTACTGTATCGACTTTAAAGCTCTGGAAAGGGCGGCAGCGCTGACGGTGGTCTCACCTCCTGCAGGAGACCGGAGTATGTGGAGGGGCGAGCAGAGCTGAGCTAAAATCAGTTGTTTTGAGGCCAGTGGATTATTTTTGGTCAGCAAGCCAGTCGGTGTTGCTGTGTTGCTGTTTTCAATAAAAACAAAGTTAAAAAACGTGCATTTCTGTATCTTCCATGACAAAATGATTGAAATTAAGGTTGCCAAAATATGCAAAGTTACCACTATCAAAGTTGTAGTTTATATTTCAGTCATTTGCACTTCATAAATACAACACAACTGTGAAAAAACTTGCTAAGCCAGTGGTTGGGACGCTCGACAGTCATTCATCCCATCGTGTTTTTGAGTTAAAAAATGTTTAAAGTCGACAGGAAATTTGAAAATATCACTTGATAATTATGTTATTGAAAGATTGGAAGATTATTATCTGAACACCAGCTATAAAGTCCTAAAAAATGGAAACATTTAAAAAAAACTTAGATAAATAAGTAATGGTAAGTCTGGTGGGGCACAAGTAAAGCCTGGTGGCCCACCAGGCTTATAATACACTAAGGCAAAAACTGAAACTGATGTGGTTTATATAGGTGTGTTCAAGAGTTGAACTTGCAAATGATAAATCAAGACAGTGGCAGTATTTTAAAAACTAAACCTTAATAATTCATGCATCAGAATCTGTGAGAAATCGGGATTCAAAGTCACAAAAATGAAAAACTATTTTGATTTATCTATTTTGATATGAAAATTGTTTGAGCTTTACCGGTTAAAATAAAACATTGAGTTGACTTGTAATAATAATTTTATTCAGACTAAAGAGCATGCTGTATATTGTGGAATATATTTGAATGAAACCTTAAAGTTGAATCCCAAAGCTAAGATATTATTTCCGGGTTTTTTTTTTATAGAATCTGATTTTATGTAACATTAATCTACATGTATCTGTAGAGTTTAAAGTGAATTGGTATTTTCATGTTATAATGTCGTAGTACATATATTTAATTTTTGATGTTGTTTAGTTGAGGTTATGTTTTTTTTTGTGTGCTTCCAGTTTCACCTACCTATCTTTATTTTGAAAAGACTTTTTCAGGAAGTCAGTTTTAGGCCTCACAGTTTGCTCCCCCTGATCATTGTTGCTTGTCTTCTTTAGTTTCTGAAAACAAGCAAAATGTCATCTTCATTGGAAAGCAGCTCATATTTATCCATTGCATTGTTTAAATAAAACCTTATTTCTGCTAAATCTTTTACTGAAAAATGTTTTCTGCCTCCTCTGTGTGCAGCTTACATCAGAAAATAAAGGTTCTTGCATTTACATAAATAAACTTGTAATATATAAGTGCGATCCTTAGCGCACTCTGTGCCCATAGTTATAAAACCACACCTTGTAAATTTCCCTTGCTTCTCTGGAAAAATGCTCTACGAAAACATAATCCTAAAAAATAAATGAACGTCTTTAACTTAACATGCATTTTCTCCATCATCACGTGGCCAAACTTCAAGTTTAAAAACATGTAACCGATCATTTTTATGCCCTTGTTTTATTGCTTTTCCCTGCAACTTTCAGGTGTCACCCTCTGTTAATTTTGTGATTTTCTGCATCCCTTGCATTCCATTGAGTGTTTGTAAAGGGCAGTGGAGTTTTTTATTCTCTCTGGAAGAGCAATGTGGGTTTTCCATGATCCTAAGCAGGACGTGCAGGAAACGTCTAGGTGCAGCTGGTGAAACAACACAGCGCTGATTGTGACCTTTGACCTGCAGGATGGCAGGAATGGCTGTTTTTTGAACTCCTCTCCACATGCATGTTGTACATGCCATTAAGTTCTCATTTGTGCTCTCTGTGCAAAAACACGTCTATTAAAGATAAATGAAGCAGGTGATAAATCTGAGCCTTTGTTCTTTTTGGAAACAAAAACAGGATTTTCTATATGAATGTGTGTTTCTATGCAGTAAATCCATACAAACCAGGACGTTTCTTGCAGGTATGTACAGTAGCCAATTTTACCAGTAACAAAAACGCAGTTGATCCAGCTGATTTTAGTTTAAAACTTTCCAGATTGTATGCACTTAGCCAAGTTTTTTGAGCAAACAGTAAAGATTATTTTGTCTTTAAGATTTTCAACCCTTTTGTGAATGCAAAGAAAATGTGAAATTATTTCAAAGTGAAACTCACAGCTTAAATATTTGTGGCAATGGTAACAAATCCTGCAAAATCCAATTTAAAACGTACTAATAAGTGTCAGAAAAGGCATTTAGACAAACACAGAATACAAATGAAACTTGTTAAGTATGTTCTTAAGTCCTGCTTTTCATTTTAGAAAACATAACCCAGTCTGCCCTAGCTAAAGACAACTTATTTATTTTTTTTAGGAATTTGTTAAATAGTGGTTTAACAAATAGGTGTTTGAGCAGAGCTTGACCTCGGCCATCTGGGAGCCTTTTCATCACTGGGAGTCTCTCTGAGGCAGGGAGATGATATTGGGCAGCTTGCAGAGTGACCTGATCCCAGCGGTCATCAGCTGCTGATTAGTTAGCAGTTCTCTGCTGACTCTGGACATGCAGAGATGAAGAGCGTCTTCGCAGATCTTTGACATGTAAAGAAAGGTGGGATTCTTATCTGCTCTTCAATGTACAAAACAGGAGTGTTTATATTTTTAAATATGTCAGTCAGCTTGTTTCCATTTCTCTATTTATATACTTTTGTTTTACATAAAAAATTATTTTTGAAATATCCTTACTATGGATATCACAATAATATTTTTTTCAAATCTCAAGCTATGTTTACATGTGTAAAAACCTATTTGGGCCAGTATAAAAGACAAAAAAGAAAAACATTTCCACCAAAATAACTCAGACGTTTTCTAGAAAAAAAAAAACAAGGAAACTTCTGAATTTGAAAAGTTGAAAATTTGCTTGAAAAAAATCACATTTTGAGATCACTGAAGTTTTCTGAGTTTCAAAAGTTACAAAATTTAAAACTTTTGAAACTCAGTAATGTTCATGTTTTTATTTTTCAGAAAATTTCTGAGATCAATCTCAAAATTTCTACGTTTTTCTAGCAAAGCTTCGACTTTTCAGACTCAGAAATTTTTGTAGAAAAGATCTGAGATAATCAGATCTTTTTTTGTAGAAAAGATCTGAGATAATCAGATCTTTTTTTGTAGAAAAGATCTGAGATAATCTCAATTTTCTTCGTAGATATTTACTCTATTTTTCTTCAATCTCCCGTGGTCCTAATACGAGGTCGACTTCTGCCTGGAAACTGTCGGTATTTTCATATGTTGATCGAGAAAAAGTTTCGTGTTTAGACACCTTGAATCAGCTGTAGTAGTCATGCCGCACCACTAGATGGCACTGTGCTTTTAGCATGTCATCCGATGCGAATGCACGTTAGCCCATTAGCTTTCACATCACTTTAAACAACGACTAATTTCTGCCTTTCATGAAAGAAGTGCTCATGTAACACATGTATTCCTTGTCAGGAATTAAAGTTAAAGAGTTAAACTGAACAGGTTAAGTCGAGCAACTGACGTGACGTCGGCTTCGCCCGCATGCGGAAGCAGAGCAAACCTTCAACAAACAGTGTTATAACGGCAGAGGTAGTGGACATTTTTTCATATTAAACTGCCACAGAGGGTAAATGGACAGGAAAGAAAATTCTCTAACAAGTCCTACATCAGGTCTGAAAGGTTATTTGAAGGAAACATCGGAGAAATCAACATTAAAGCCCAAATATTTTGCAGCCGAAGGAACAATGAAGGAATGTGAAAACTGTGTCATTGGATGTGAAAGCTGCGTCGACGCATTTTGCACGTACAAAACTGGTGAGTAATGACTTAAACTATACCGGCTTTTTAAAATTTGCCTCTGGAAAATGGTTTAAAATAAACAGTAGCATGAAAAGGTGCTCCCGCACGTTTTCATGCTGCCATAGAGCTACCATTGGAATTTGCACACATAAAATCAAGCATAGCTACCTTCACTTATTTACCTTTGATTTGACTATCTGTAAGTGTCATTATGGCAAAAAAAAAAAAAAAAAAAATGATTTCTCCCAGTTACCTCTGTGCAGACGAATATAGGTAGTTGTCGTTGATCACAGTTTTATTCAACTGGACATGAAGTCTGTTGATGGAGTTCTTGCATTATTCCAGACTCCGTTTGGGTTTTAAGAAATATAATAAATTGTTTTCTGCTTTTTTAAGTTCTGGGTAATTGCTGTTAACCACTGACAACGTTGGACCATGACTTTCTATTATTTTCCTAGAAATCTGTTACCGCAGCCATTAGCGATGATGAGCCACGGCAATGTTGACGGAGGTTCAGAGGACAAATTGTGACCGCTGATTGGTCAGTTGGAGACAGACCTAGAATGATTGGCAAATCATATCATGTCAATTATTTATGTCGTTATCCACCTTTGCATGCATAGGATAAACCCAGGCTGTACTTTCTGCGCATGTGGATATTGACACCTTCAGTGGTGTTAAAGAAACGTTTCACTCTGAAACCTGGTTTCAAAAAATGCCGATGTGAGAGACTCCAGTCACTGGTATCTTGTAATTTCAACAAAAAAGTTACGGTTGAACTAAAGAGCTGCTGGGGGCCTTGATCTCAATTTACGACATATATCTGGATTTCTTGACATGGTCCAGATACCAAATTTTTGTCGCTATCTGTTTCTCAAATTTCTGCATCAATCATCTTTGACTTTTTAACATACCAGATGTTTACTGGTGATTCAATTTCATAATGGAGAGACTTTTTCAGAGGCAGAGAGAAAATGAAATGCCATATGATGCAAACCACTAAAACCACATCTGTTTCTGCAGAACCACTGTTCAGATGTAATCATATCACATTGAGTGGGTCAAGGTTTTTGTTCTGCTCCTGGGACTTGCCTTGGACTCCAGAGTTGGTACAGGCAGTTTTAGATTTCCGTGTCTTGTTTCTGTAAATACTACATTTCCCATAAACAGGATTTTCTTTGGTAATAAAAATATTCTAGCCACCACTCATAAATCACATCTACAGTATGAGAACTGTTGAGACTTTTACCTTTTCATCCCTCATGCATTCACTCGATGAACACTTTAGATCAATTTACACACAGTCCTTGGAGATATGCTGTTGTTTTCTCTAATGTCTCCTGGTGTAGCTAAAGTTTCCTCTTCATGATTCATATTAGAGATGCAGGTCTTTAATAAAGGACAATTGCAGTTCTTCCATTCATAATAACATCTAAAACACACAATTTGGGATGTTTTCACACTGGATTGCCGGAATTGCAACATTTGCTACATTCTCAGCCAGTGCGGTTCACTTTCACACTGCACTGCGTTAAATGAACAGCCTGTTTTCCCCCTTGCCTGTGGTGGCGCTACACCAAGAACAATTGAATGAAATGACATAAAAACATTTGAAGAAGACATGAGAGCAAATTCCTTCTTCTCTAAATGGAAGCAAACATTGAGTGGCATCAGATTTTAGCAGTTGTACGATTTTCTCTTTTGTTTTAGGCAAAAGATGACGAGCTATTTCTCCCACTAGTGGTAGACACGCATGTTTATTTTGGTTGTGTAATCCACTGTGCCTTCTTTTGTAGTGATCTCTAGTTCACTTAGCATTCACATATGCATTCAAACTGCATTCGAACTGAGTTGAGACCTAGACTTCTAGGCATACCAGTGTTCACCTTTTTGGTGAGAGTTTGATTTCGCGCTCCCAGACTTTCTAGGCAAATGAAATAGCGTTTGCCTAGAAAGTGCCATCATGAATTGATTTTGGTTAAATTTGTGGCATTAAAAACAACACTAGAGTCCTTGTAAACGAAATGTAATGAAGACTTTATACGACTTAGCAATGCATATAATAAATATTGACAAAAAGTTTGACCTATCAGTGCATGGCCTTGGTGTTTTAATAATGTATTTCGTCCAGCTGTGTTTGAGCTTCCTCAGATCAGTAGCATCCACGCCCCATAGCTAACCCCGGCCTGTAATTCTGACTCCTGTAACCTGGCCGTCTGCACCTTAGTTAATGCTCCTATTTGTAACAGTAAAATCCCACTGTGACCTATGCAGACAGCTCACCCTATTATTCAGCTCTCCTCACAGTAACTCTGTTTACACCCTCAAAGACTGTGTTGTGATGTTTATGTAGCAGTACAACTCTAGTTTGGGTCTGCTTATTAGGACAAAGTCAATGCTAACACAGCTGAAACCAAGTGTTACTGTTTATGTACAAGCTAGTGTGAGCACAGCAGCACAACTAGCAGGTACAGGACATGAGAAAAGCAGTTTGTAACTCCTGTTTGTTTTAAAACAATGACTCAACTATTTGTAATCTCTCATGTGATTCAGGTCATTTTGCAACTATGTAGTAGCAGAGGATTATTGAAGTGGGCCTGCAAAAAGTTGCTCCAGAGATCTGGTGAGTGCTTGCATTGTTTGCATTTGCAGTGCTGAAAAAAACTAAAAGCAGCACAAAAATAAGTTTAACTAAAGCTGCAGTCAAACTTGCAGCATAATTAATAGAATAAACAAAGATAAATTGAATATACTGGTCAACAGCCAAAACATTTTCTGGGGTTTTTCAACTAGGCCTGTCGTGATAAACGATAAATCAATTAATCGCACGATAAATTAAACCTATTGACTTAATTTTAATTATCTGCTTTATCGTCTCTTCCTGCCTTTTTTTCTTTCTGTTGATAACACTGAATAAAAAAAGGCTCAACTCCAGTGCTCTGCACTGACCCTTCCTTCCTATTTACTTAGTGCAATGTCCAGCTCACACTACACGAGTTGTCAGCCCATTTTCAAAACCTGAGAGACACATTAGCCGACAGAAACTCTAGGTATAACGGTTCGATCGGTTTCGATCATGCCGTGTGGTGTCCAGCCATCTGGGCACAAAGTAATGGCTACAAGTCCAGTTAACTAATTTTAAAATCAGGTATTAATCAATGCTTTACTAGAATCTACCTGCAATGCATGTGGCTAGAGTCAGCGTAAAGTCCTGACTGAATGAAAATCATTATAACCTATTTATGTCACGTTAACGAAGAACAGCTGAAAACTTACCGGGTTTATCAACTGCGGTAGCAATTTGGCTCCAACTCCTCCTCTTGTCATTTCTATATTCTTTGCACGAAATGTTGAATAAATATTAATGTTGTTTCCACATATCATCTCCGATGTCCGCTGGATTTTGGGTTGCGCCGTAATTTCCCCTCAGAAATCACGGAGCAGAATCCGCACTCTCTGATTGGCTACCTGTCACATTCAGCGTTAAGCTCCCAGTCGGGGGAAACCTTGATTTAGATTGGAGCGGCCACGACGATCTACCGTAATACACTACACACTGGAGGATGATCGGTTACGAAATCACCAGCGATAATCTTAGAACGGCCAACGTTCTAAGAAAAAAGGGGCAAAAAAACCCGTGTAGTATGAACTACTGCATCAGGTAGTCGGATGTGCCCATCTTCTCTATTTAAATCTAGTGATTACTGAAGGGCAATATAGTACACAGACTTCATAATCTGCACTCTTTTGGTTGAATGCAATATTTATTTCCACTTTGGCTTTATGTTGTTTACTTTTTATTCAAGTACGTTTTTTGTTAATGGAGACTAAGAATCCGTTTTATTTTTATTTTTGGTTGTTTTGTTTATTTAGTTTATTAGTTCCAGTGTTATGTGTTCTTTTGAAAATAAAGTGCATCTATCTATGGCAGGAAAGCGCATGCATTATTACGTCATTTCCATTAAATCAGTGTCAAAAGGTCTTGAGACAATATTATCATTTATCGCAATAATTTTTTAGACAATCGCTCAGCAAAATTTGTTATCCTGACAGGCCTATTTCCAACTGTTTCAGGGTCATTTTGATGAGCTGAATGCAAAAATCACATTGGTTTTGCTCCATCAGGTCAACTTTCTGAAGTATGGAGCAACATGAGCATCAAAATGCATGACTTGTTCTTACATATGGATCAGTTTTCTGATTAACTGGGATCAATGAGTGATGAGCAGCGAGAAAGATGAAGACGTAATGTTCATTTTACGTGTACTTGTTCATTACTCAGTTTCCATAAATCCAAGTTTGTAACATTTAATTAATGCACTATGTTAGAAAACATTTTTTTTTCCTAAAACCTTTTTTGGATGAGAAATATTAATAGAAATGAACTGATGTGTCATCAATTTAGTGAGAAGATTGGATTTCTCTAAATCAAATTAGAATTAAAAACCTGACCTGAGTGCGAAAATGGATGTCATTTTTGGATTCAACGGCACAAAATAGTCCTAAGTCAGTTGAAAAAACATAGACAACTTCCAAAACATATTCTTTTGTAACCCAGTGTAATTATGATGGCTACATGGACAAAACGTGACATGTGAATTATCTGGGAAGAAGATGATGCAGTATGTGATCCGTGTCTGAATTTTTTTCGATCGCTTTAAAGCAGAGGTGTCAAACTCATTTTGGTTTTGAGCCAAATTAAGATCACGAATGCTCTTAAAGGGCCAGTTGTGCCAGAATGTATTGATAAAACCTGTTCACCAACTGTTATCAACAAATCCTTAAAATTAAATATTATTATTGAACATATTTTCAGTCTCTCCAGGATTTTGTGATTCCTTTTGTGATTTTGAGCAATAAAAATCCAAGTGTTGGTGGTGCTAATTTGGAAATATGTGCGATATTTGTGCTTATTTATGATGGTAAATGTGACTTTTCTGTATCAGACTATAATCTCACATCAATTAAGGCTGAGGCAAGAAGTAAGAAAGTTTTTGACAATTTTTTAGAAAAATCTGCAATACATTCCCAGTTTTTAGTGCAAAAAAGAGCAGGGATTTGTTGAGTTTGCATGAATTTCCTCTATAATTTTCAAGAAACCAGAGGGCCTGATTGATATAATTTGACAGTAAACAGATAAAAACTGCATTGATTTGATTGATAACATAATATTAGTGTTTAGTCTAGAAGCTACAACGTTCAGATTTGGCCCTCGGCCCTTGAGTTTGACACTTTAAATGCACTCCCTCTATAAACATATTTTCTGCTACAGAACTTTTATGTTTCACTTATTTGATTTACCTTGATGAGATACAAGAGGAAAGTGTGACCAGATCCAACTAATAATTACAGTTTAATTAAACATCAGTTGGAAACAATCATGAAACTCTCCTAACATTAAAAAGACTAATGAGGAAAAAATACCAATGTTTATAGCACATCTATAGAAGCCTTTAAAACGAGCCCATCTCGATTTATCACCTCTTGTCTTCTCTTATTCTATTGCTACCTTTGCAAGTTCTGGAACATATTTTACCAAAATTATGTTTTATAGGCTGACCGTTCTGTCTAGACTGACAGTAAAAGGTCAACTGTATACCAAGACAAGAAAACATTTGAATGGAAGTGCTTTTTTAGAAATGAATCAACAATCAAACAATAATTGGTTGCAGTCAGACTACTAAAACATTTTCTCCCAAGAGCTACAGTGCCCTGTTGTTTTATTTTCTTCTCTTTTTTTTTTACATGCTCCACTTGCAGAACAAATACTGGGTAAATAGTCATCTTTGGGGAATTATAGTTTATGTCTGGTATTTTTTGGCTTGGGCATTTGGCCGTTTCAGTAATAGGACTGAGATATCCTCAAGGGCACTGGACTTGAATTTTGTACACATTTGGTTCTGGTTGTTCCAAAACAATGGGAACCAGAATTTAAAATCATGATTACAAAATGAGTAACTGATCAGCAGCACATGCATACATATATACATACATGTAATATGATCTGTGTGACCCATTTCTGCTTTGGAAAAATATAAC